CCCACAGACCTCATGCTGAGCTTACCCCACGCACCCCCAAGTTCACATCAGAAGCTGGACGGGAACAATGGGAACAGGGAGGAGACATCCCAAGTGTGCTTGATGGTGGGGCCAGGGAGGGGAACAGGGCACCGGGAGGCTGAGGCTGAGCCCTTGGATCCGGGTGGCACGGGGTCACCCCACAACACCCCGGAGCCGACACCTGGCACAAGTGTGCCCTGGAAGCTGACTCGGAGGCAGCTCCTGGTGCGGGGCCTGGACAACCCACTCTGCCCTCTGAGGGGCTCCCCTGCGTCTGGTGTGGGTCTCCAGGGACTGGCCTCCTCCCCGTCTCATCCCATGCCTGGAACCTTCCATGGCTCAGGAGGTGAGGGTGGGGGCAAGGTGGGGGGAAGGTCCTGGAGGTCTCCTGCCAACTGCTCTCCTCCCCAGACCAGACCCTGCGCCCAGCAGCCTCAGGGCCCTCAGACAGAGCCCGCCCACCCTCTGTGTCCCTCCACTCCCCAGTGCCCGGCTGTGGGGACCGGGTACAGCCACCCGTGTGAGTGTGTGAATGAGTGTGTATGAGTGTGTATGAGTGTGAATGAGTGAATGAGTATGAATGTGTGTGTGTGTGTGAATGAAGGCGTCTCTGTCAATGGGTTTGCATGTGTGAGTATGTGTAAATGAGTGTTTGTGTGTGAATGTGCTGTGTGAATGAGTGTGTGACTTGTGAATTACCTGTGTCTGTGAATGGGTGTGTTTGTGAGCATGAGCGTCTTGTGACTTGTACATGGGTGCATGAATGTGCAGATGAGTGTACATGTGTGTATGTGCATGAGCATGTGTGAGTGCATGAGAGTGTGTGTGAATGTGAATGAGTGTAGGTATGAGTGTGTGAGTGAGCACATATATAAGTATGATGTGTGTGCGCATCTGTGTGTATGTGTGAATGTATATATATGTGAGTCTGTGTGAATGTGTCTGTGTGTGAATGTGTCTGCATGAATGAGTGTGTGAATGAGTGTGTCTGTGAATGTGTAAATTAGCGTGTTAATGAGTGTGAGAGTGAGTATCTGGGTGAACATGTTTGTGTGAACGAGTTTATGTGTGAACAAGTGTGTCTGTGTGTGAATGAGTGTGTGAAGGTGTGTGAATGAGTGTGTCTGTGTGAATGTGTGTGAATGACCGTGAGTGAGTGTGAACATGTGTGTGAATGAGTATGTCTGTGTGTGAATGTGTGTGAATACGTATGTGTGTGAATGTGTGCCTATGAGTGTGTGAATGAGTGTGTGAACATGTTTGTGTGAATGAGGGTGTCTCTGTACGAATAAGTGTGTGTGAATGAGTGTGTGGACGTGTGTGAATGAGTGTGAATCGTGAATGAGTGTGCCTGTGTGAATATGTGAGTGTGTGAATGAGTGTCTGAACATGTTTGTGTGAGTGTCTCTGTGTGAATAAGTGTCTGTGTGTCTGTGTGTGAACGAGTGTGTCTGTGTGATTATGTGTGTGACCCTTGCTGTTTGTCCCTGCCTTCTCATCCCAGACAGCTCAGGGGGACAGGCTCACCGTGGCCTGGCCGGACTCCCTACTGGGCCCCTTCCCCCCTCTGGTCACCTTTGTCCCCAGTGCTCAGTGAGCACAGCCCCATCCCGGGCAGGCCTTCCGGGTTCTGAGGATGCTTCTAGAAGCGACCATGAGAAGAGCGCATTCTGGGAGCCCCGCTGGTTGCCTGTGGCAGATGCTCCAGGCCAGGTCTTGGGGACCCTCGTGCCACAGTGGGGGGTCTGACCCAGGCTGGTTCCTGCCCGACCCGGAACTCCGGCTCTGCAGCTGTCCGTGGCGGGGTGGGGGTTGGCAGGGACCTGCAGTAGCGGCTGCGTCTGCTCCCGCAGCCAGGGCGCCCCCCGCCCCGATGGGGTGTTACGGCAAGTGGGGCGCTTTGTTTGCTTTCCTTAGAAGTGGGTTCCCAGCGCCCACGGGAAGGGGTGAGGCTGGGGGTGCAGCAGGGAGGGCAGAGTGGGGAGCCCTGGGAGCAAGGGCCTCTGAAGAGGGGACCCTGAGGAGGCCCTGGGGGGGGGAGGGAAGGAGGGGAAGGAGCGAAGGCCCTTGGGGGCACGGGGTCTTCTGCTGTGTCCGTCACCTTCTGTCCCCCCACGCTCGGCTGCTCCTGGCATATCTGCGCTGCGGCGACTGGGGCTGTGCGGGGTGATGGGCGCTCTGCAGGATGGTGGGTGCTGTGTGGGGTGGTGGTGGGTGCTGTGTGGGGTGGTGGGTTCTGTGCGGGGTGATGGGTGCTGTGCGGGGTGGTGGGTGCTGTGAGTGCTAGTGGGTGCTGTGCCTGATGGTGGTGGGTGCTGTGCGTGGTGGTGGGTGCTGTGCGGTGTGGTGGGTGCTAGGCATGATGGTGGGTGCTGTGTGGGGCGGTGATGGGTGCTCTGCGGGGTGATGGGTGCTGTGCGGGGTGATAGGTGCTTTGTGGGGTGGTGGGTGTTGCGAGTGGTTGGTGGGTGCTGTGTGCGGGGTGGGGGGTGCTGTGCGGGGTGGGTGTGCTGTGCAGGGTGATGGGTGCTGTGCAGGGTGATGGGTGCTGTGCAGGGTGATGGGTGCTGTGTGGGATGGTGGGTTCTGTGTGGGGTTATGGGTGCTGTGCGGGGTGGGGGTGCTGTGTGGAGTGATGGGTGCTGTGTGGAGTGATGGGTGCTGTGCGGGGTGATGGTGCTGTGCGGGGTGATGGGTGCTGTGTGGGGTGATGGGTGCTGTGTGGGATGGTGGGTTCTGTGCGGGGTTATGGGTGCTGTGCGGTGGTGGGTGCTGTGCAGGGTGGGTGGGGGGTGCTCCCTGCCCAGCTTGCCCTGCAGGAGACCCCATCTCACCCGCAGCCCTGGTCCCCAGCGGCTCAGCTCGTGATGGGGCGGGCTGGGCCCTGGCCGCAGCGCCCACGCGCCCTCATTTCCAACAGTGCCTTGTGGAAACGGCAGCAGAGACGGGGGGGGGGGGGGGGGGGCGGGGGGGGGGTGGAAAGGCCCTGTGCTGGGTGGCGACCCCAAAATCCCTCCTGGCCAGCCAGATATTCTTACCACCGAGACCCCCGAAGGGACCCCCTACCTGGCCAAGAGGAGGGGCGTCCACATAAACTTCCAAAACCTGCCCACCCCACCCCTTTTCCTGGGCAGGTGGGTCCCAGACTCTGTTGGGAGCACCTTGGCCGAGCCCCTCTCTCCCTGCACCCCTGCATCTCGGGGCCCAGGTGTGCTGCCCGTCCGTCTGTCCGTGCATTGTCCTCTCCACAGTGCTTTCCGTTTCTCGGCGGCGGTGCTGACGGGAGGAGCTTGGCCCACTATGAAGGGGAGCAAACGGGTCACTCGGTGTGGGCCCCTTGGGTCTCTTCCAGCTGTGTCCAGCGTGCTGCCCTCTCTGAATAAACTGAGCCCCGGCTGCCCTGAGAGAGGCCAGCCCTTGCCTGTGCCGCCTTCCCCAAATCGCCAAGTGACGCTGTGGCCCAGAGCCCGGCCCGGCCTGGCAGCGTGGTCGAGACATTCCCAGCGGACATAGGACAGCAGGGCTTGGCCTGGGGCCAGTGGCGACCGGATTGAGGCATTGAGAGTCTGGGCCAGCTCGCTCTGTCCCCCTCCTGCTGGCAGAAGGGGGGGCCGAATGCCAGTCTCAGGAACTAGCCCCCCTCCCCGAACCCAGGGGGCTGGAGTGAGAATCCAGAATCCGCCTTTCCCAGACCAGCCCTGTCTCTCGTCTCGCTGCCCGCACCGAGTGCGCGGCCGGCAGGCGGGTGGCCCGGGCGCGGGCCGCTTCCCCACCTTGCCTGACCGGCGTGGGAATCCACGGGGTTGCGGGGGCCCCTTTCACTCTGGCTGCGGCTGCATTCAGCGCTTGGCTTCCTCGCGGCCGTCCAAGCCCCCGAGCATTCTTCTGCGCCTGAATGCGGCACTGTCCTCCCGCCGGCTCCTCTAACCCTTTCTTCCCTGCCCCGGAGCCGCCGCTCCAGGGACGTTCTCGCAGCCAGTAGCTCTCGCTTGGCATTTTGACGTTTTATTGGAGAGGAAAGAAAAGAGAGAGCGAAAGAAGGAAAAATCCGACCCAAAGTGGGTGTGTGGGGGGGCCACCCCGCGGTCCCCGCCGGCTAGGGAGCCTGCACCTGCTTCTGCGCCCCTACCAGGAAGGGGTGCTGCCGTGGGAGGGGAGGTGGGAGGCGCTGCGCCCCCCGAGCCCGGGGAGGGCCGTCCCCTCGGGCGCGAGCGGCGGCCTCCGGCTCCGGGTGCGGGCCTGCCCGGCGCTGGCCCAGCTGCGCCCTGGCCGGCCCCGCGCGCGCACGCACGCACGCACGGCGCGTCCCCCCCCTCCGGCCGGGCGCGGGGGCGCGGGGCGCGGGGCACGTTCCCAGGCCCTCCCGGGCGCTGCCCGGTGCCCGCGGCCGCCGCTCGGTCCGGCTGCCGCAAACCCGGGCCGCGCCAGCGCCCAAAAGTGGAGCGGGGGGAGCGCGCCGGCCCCCTCCCCAGCGCGCACCCCCGCGGCCCGACTGCAACTTTTCCCCCCGCCGCCCCGGCCCCTCCGTGTGGGCGTCCCCGGGCGGGCGGCGGGCGGCGGGTGCGGAGCGCAGGGGGAGCGGGGCGAGGGCGGGCGCGCGGCCCGCGCAGGGGGAGGCGCGGAGGGCGGGCGGGGAGGCGCGCCGGGAGCCGTGCGCGTTTCGTAAGGCTCCAGCCCCGCGCCGAGCGCTCGCATTCTGCAGGCGCGCGGCGAGCCGTGCACGCCGGCTGCGGCCCCTGCGCCGCCGCCCCCTCGCGCGCCCCCGCTCCTCTTCCTCCTCCTCCTCCTCCTCGTCCTCCTCCTCCTCCTCCTCGTCGCCGTCGTCCTCCTCCTCCTCCTCCCCGCGCTCCCCCTGCCCGGGCGCGAGTGCGTGCGTGCGCGAGTGCTGGGTGCGTTTTGCAGGTGTGTGTGTTTTAATTCGGCCCGGTAGGTGGGACCGGGCGACTTTGGCACCATCCCACACCGCCCCCCGCCCCCTCCCCCGGCCTCCCACCACCACCATTTTCCTTTTTTTCCCCCCCCTCTTTTTTCTGGCGGCGGGGGTGCGGGTGGGGAGGCGGCAGGGTCGCCACCCTGCAAAGTCTCCGAGCCGGAGATCGCCGCCCGACCCCGGCTCCCCGAGCGGCCAGCCGGCCAGCGCCGCGCCGGCCACCATGCCCGGCAGCCTTCGCTCCTAGGCGCTCCCGGGGGCCGCGATGCTCCCCGAGGCTGGAGGGTCTCGCCTCTGATCGCACCGGCGTTTTCAAAGGCAGCGGCCCCCTCCCCTCCCCCTCCCTCGCCGTCTTTGTCTCCTTCCCCCTCTCTCCCCAGCTCTCCCCACTCCCCCCACCCCACCCCCTCTCCTCTCCTCCTCCTCCTCCTCTCTTTTAGAAGCCGCGATCCGAGATGGATGTCTCTCTCTGCCCAGCCAAGTGCACTTTCTGGCGGATCTTCCTGCTGGGGAGCCTGTGGCTGGACTATGCGGGCTCGGCGCTGGCCTGCCCGGCCAATTGCGCCTGCAGCAGGACCGAGATCAGCTGCCGGCGGCCCGACGATGGGAACCTCTTCCCGCTGCTGGAAGGGCAGGACTCGGGCGCGGGCAGCGCGGGCAACGCCAGCGTCAACATCACCGACATCTCCCGGAATATCACTTCCATGTAAGTCCGGTCCCTGCCCCAGAGGGGTCCCCGGGCTCGTCCTCCCCGCGCCCGGCTCGCCGCCGCCGCCGCCGGCGCTCGCCGCCACCGCTGGGCCGCCGGCCGGGCGCGCGCCAGGCTCGCTCTGGCTCCGAGATGCTCTCCCCGCCGCCGGCCGTTCCTTCCTCCCAGGTGGCCGAGAGGCGCGATCTGGAGCCGATGGGGCCGGGGGTGGGTCCTTGTCCCCCAGAGGACCCGGCCAGCGGGGGCTCACGGTGTGTCTCTGTGTGTGTGTGTATTTGTGGGGAGGGGGTCTGGTCCCTGGCGCTGTCCCCCACCGGCCTGCTGCGGCTGGCTCATGCCCGGGCGCCAGGCAGGGTGCTGGCCCCTGTCTCAATAGCAACAGTTTGGCCCCGCTCGCTCGCTCACTCGCTCAAGTGGCAGAAAGTAGATGGGCTTGGAGCCGCCGGCGGGCTGAGACAGGCAGCCGGCCGGATGCCCAGCTGGCCGGGAAGGTGACGGCGCCCGGGGGTTGGGGGGGCGCTCCGTTTGCTCAGGGAAAGGGCACGCGGGCTGACGGCTGAGGACAAGTTGAGAGCCTGCCCGTGGGTGCGTGTGAAGGGGGGCACTGGTCATGCCCAGCCGCCATGGACACCCAGCTCTCCCGTCCCGCTGCCCCCCCCCCCCCCCCGCCCCACGGGCCATTTCCCACGTTCTCGACACCCCCTCTTCCACCCTGATCCACCTCTCTGCTCCTCCTCGGCGGGCGCCCACCACCCCTTCCTTCCCACGGCCATTACCCGGAGTCAGAACGGGAAAAGAGGGAGCCGGGGGCGTGCGTGTTTGGGGGGGCGGCTCCCCGAAGGCCCCCGCAGATGCATTTATTCGGGGAAATTGAACCCGGATGCCCAGCTCTGCCAGCCCCTCGCAGCAAGCCCCTCCTGTCGCCCCCCCCCCCCACTCTGGCTCCTTATTTTTCCTGGGCGGGGGTGAGGTGGGGCACGGAAGGCTGTGTGTGGGGGGGAACTGGGGCTCCCTGGGCCCCGCCTCCCCCCTACTCACCCCGACCTCTGCCAGGTGACCCCTGGCACACAGACCAGGCTGTGGAGGGCCCAGCATTGCTGGGGGCCAACTCTCACTGGGTCTCTGTCCCTCGGGGTCCCCAGTGTGGGTGAGACGCTGAGACCAGCCCCAGCTGTGCTCCAAGGCGGGCGCTGGAGGGGAGGGTCACTCGAGAGGGGCCCCTCCCCCTGGCTGTGGTCTGTCCCTTCTGCCTGCTGGCCGCGAGGGGACTTGTAGCTAACGGTGCCTGCCGGGGCGCCCGGCCGGCCTGGCCTGCATCGTCTCGGAGCTGTTCGTTCCCCTTGGCTCACGCTCGTGCGCCTGCTCGCTCGGGGGCCGGCTGGAGTGATGACAAGATAAACAGCGGGGGGTGGGGGCGCTGGACAGGCCTGTAGGCCGCACAGCGGGGCAGGCCGGGAGGGTCTGTGGCGACGGGCGGGCCGGAGCCCGGCGTCTGGGCTGTGTGTGTGAGGGAGGGTGGGGACTCCGGGGTCCTGGTTCCCGCGGCTGGGGGGGGCCACGACGAGAGGTGGGGAGGGCCCATGCTTGGTGGTGGGCTCTGAGGGCACATGGGGGTCCTCCCTCCCTCTGGGAGGCACAGGGAGTGGCGTGAGGGGCAGTGGGTGGCTTGGCCAGTTTCAGGGGCAGTAAGGTGCTGTGGCAGAGTTGGGGGCTGCTGGGAGGGGGATGCAGCAGTCTCTGGCCCTGGGCCGTGGTGGTGGGCCCCAGAGGGCATCTGGGGGGCAGCAAGCCCCAGGAAGTACAGCCTGCTCCCCTGAAACTCACCCCAGCCCCTCAGATCCAGGGAGAGCCCTGAGTGCAGGGGGTGGGGGTGGGGGGAAGGTCATGACCAGCCTGTCTCCCCCATACCCTTTCAGGGCTATGGCGACTATTGACCGTGCTGGGGGGGTGGCAGGGGCGGCTGCGTGTGCTGTGTCCTGGCCAGGAGCACAGTCTGTGCGGCGGGGACCCCCGGAAGCAGAGGCCACTGTTGTCTGCCTCTGGGGAGGGGGCCCAGACAGGCCGGCAGAGTGGGCGATTTCCGGGGCCACGGCTGCCGTTCTGTGGGGACCCCGACAGCAGGGGGAGCTGGGGGGGATCCCGTGGGCGCGGGAGCCTCTAGGCCGGGGGCATCTTGCTCTGCTGTCCTTGCCAGCTGTCCACGTGTCCTCGTCAGAGTCCTTGCTCTACTGGCCTGCTGTGATGGCTGCCAGGATTACGGGGTCCCGCCACCCCCCTCCCCGCCTTCTGTCTTCCCAGCCGTCCCTGCTCTGATGCCTGCCTGGGGGTGCGGGGCAGAGGCAGATCACTGCAGGCCCCCCCCCCCCCCCGTCATGGACCTGGGGGCAAGACTGTTTTTTTCTGCGGGTGGGGTGTGGACCAGGCCCCGAGGATGCTGACCGTGGCCGGGCCGCCCTGTGTGAGCAGATGTGGGGCCTCACCCTCTGGCCTGGCTTCACGGCATCGCCATGGCGGGCGGTCGGGGTCAAGGCGCCCCCGTTATCAAGCATAGAGCAGAGGCTGCCGGGACCGACTGAGGGGCGCAGAGGGCATCAGGGTCCTGTGTGGGGCCTCGAGTGAGCTGGCTGGGCAGGTGGACTCTGAGCCCGTTTCCAGACGCCCTCACGTGCTCCCTGGCATCGGGGGTGCCTGGCTGGGTGGGGCCCCGGGAGGTGACAGCTGCTCAGCTTTCCGGGCACAGAGGGGTGACCCCCGGGGGACAGTTAGGGTCCAGGACACTCAGGATGGAGAGGAGTGAATTTTGGGATGCACACGGGGGACCCCATATCCCTTAGGTCTGTGATTCTTTCTGGAGGCTGCTTTGAGGGGTCCAGGCTACCCTGGGCCGTCGTCCTCAGCAGCCCCCAGCTCTGTGCTCCTGGACCCCTGCTCGGGGCTGCACCAGCCCTGCAGGGTGTGAGATGGGCACAGCTGGTCTGGGTGCAGCTGGGCACACCCGAGTAGCCCCAGGCTCTCCTGACCTGGGGCTGCCCATTGCAGGGCGCCTGGGGGTCAGCGGAGGTCACTCTGGTCGAAGACTCAGGCGTAGGCCCTTAGGGCCACCTGCCCTGACACCCCCGAGGTCCTGGGCGGGGCCAGGGTCCCCTGCACTCACCTCCCTCTCACCTCCCAGAAAGCCCAGCCTTGCCATAGTGCCCTCCTCCATGCCCCACTCCCCGGGCAGGATGGGGTGAGGGGCTGCGTTCCCACGGGGTGGGGGGCAGCGGGGTCATTCCCTGCCAATGCTGCTGGGCCAGAACGAGGGGGCTTCCTCTGCTGTTCAGATGGGAGTGCAGGGAGGGCGCAGGGGCCTCCAGGGGCTCAGGAGGGGGCTGCGGGGTGAGGGGGATGGGCTGCTCTGCAGGAGCCCTGAGTGACCAGGCCGCTTGGCTCTGGGGCAGGCGCTGGCTCGTGGGGTCTGCGCACTTTCGGCTTCCAGAGCTCCCCACCCAACCCCGTGGCCCCTCGGGTGAGTTCTGCAGCTTCACTGGATTGGGGCGGGAGGCTGGGGGCGTTAGGGGTTCGGAGCTGGTGCCAGCCAGGGCCAGGGCCTGCTCTGTCTCAGGGTGAGGGTGCGGCTGCCCCCTCCGGGCCCCCTTTGTCCTATTTCTCTGGGGACCTGCTGCTGGTGCCCCAATGCTCGTTGTCTCCCTGGGGCAGACCCTCTTTTTTTTTTTTTTTTTTTTTTTTTTTTTTTTAAATAATTTATTTATTTATTGAATCACTGTGGGAAAAGTTACAGAGCTTTCGGGTTTAGGTCTCAGTCATGTAGATACCGAACACATTTCCCTTTACCAATACTCATTTTTAACCCCGAACCCCAATAGACCCCCACCTCCCACCCCTCCCAATTCTTATGAGGCAGATGAGTTCTAGTTAATACTCTATCTACTTTGACTAGATAGATTATTTCGATAGAAGATGCACAATTATTGTTTAGAGTTTACGACCCACCCCCCCCCCCCCCAATCAGACATGCTGAAACAGCGTTGTGAAATGATTTGCTTTCTAGAACTTGGTTTAAGAATAAAATGATGTCTGGATTTGAATTTCTGCTATTTTACTTATTGACCCTGGAAGAATTTCTATTAAAAGTTAGCTAGTTAAGAGATTGGTTTCTGTGCCCTGGAGTCGTGGCCGTGCCGGAGAGCCGCTCGTGGGGGGCAGCCGGCGACCAAGGTGGGGCGTGGGGGACGGCCCACAAAGCCCCCCTTCCCATGAGGTCCCCGCCGCTTCCCCGAGCCCGGCTCAAACCCGCTTTCCACAAGGCTCCCGTGCGGCCGCCATCTTTCTTTCCAGAGAGGAGCGGGCGGGCCGGTCAACGCCCTTCCCCCTCCGGGCAGGCTTGGTGGCGCGCATCAACACAAGTCCATTTGCTTTTCTGCTCCAAGCGGCTGGTTCTCTGTGCTAAGTCCTTGTGCCTCCGGGGCCGTGGCCGTGCCGGAGAGCCGCTCGTGGGGGGCAGCCGGCGACCTCGGTGGGGCGTGGGGGACGGCCCACAAAGCCCCCCTTCCCATGACAGACCCTCTTCCAGAAAGTTCTTTTACCCAGAGGAGCCCCGAGGGGCTGATGTCACCAAGGCTGGAGGCTGCTGGAATGGTCCCCCAGGCCTGGTGGGCTGTCCAGGGGGCAGAGGGCATGGGGGCAGGGGGCAGGGAGTGGGTCTCCTCTTTACTGACTGGAGACCTGTTTTGGTCTTGGCCACTCCTGGGGGGCCTGGATGGGCAAGGATGGAAGCTGGGGCCCCCACCTCCCAGGGGTTTACAACGTTGCTCCCCCTGGGGATGGGCAGGGGCTTGACCCCCCCCCTCCCGGTTTACCCCGGAGCCCGGGGTGAGCACTTAATTGGAGCATGTCCACTCCGTGGGGTTCCCCAACTCTGGGTCCCCAGAGGCAGCCAGTCAGAGTCAGGGGTCTGCAGGGTGGGGGTTAGGGATGGAGTAGCAGAGGGCGTGCAG